GGTATTTATGAGATAAACAACATGGAATTTATAGGATATGTCCCCTTGATATGTTTCGGTATTTGGATATTAAAGACACTGGCCAGTGCATGTAATCCATTAGAGAAACTATCATAGTCAAGGGAATAAATAATTGATTGAGTTACAGAAAACTTGTCAATCAATTATAGACATTCTACAAAGGGGCGATGCATATTCATGTTATAAGTGTTGTTAATCTTGGAGTTCAAGTTCGGGCTTTTAGTGGAGTAGCACCGAATTAGATAATCATTCGTTGATTATCAGGAGCCTTGATTAATAACAGATGGTAGATCCCCAAGCTAGCTTGAGACAAGGGATGGGGTATTTTTCGGATAGATGATGACTTATGGGTTACATGATCTTGGGTTTTACGACTCAAGTTTGTATCCAAAAGAGCAAGTGGGAGATTGTTGGGTTTGCTCTTTTACTAAAGCCCAAATGGGTTATTAGTATGAGAAGAGCCCAAGGAACCTAGAGCCCAATGAGCTAGGGTTTCTTGGAACCCATATAAATAGTACCTCTTAAGTCATCAGCCTCCTAGGTCTTTTTTGTGAGAAAGAGACAAGCTCAGAATCTAATCAGTGCCCACACACTTCCCCTTCCTCCTCGAGAGATAGTTTGGAAGATCTGCCACAGTCCAGCTTCAAGGAGGTTGTTCGTGCTGCGGTACTGAGGTGAGCTGTTCGTGAAGAGGAATTCTACAAGGGAAGATTCTACACGAGACTTGCGCACCGAGAGGAAATTGTGAAACAAGGATGATTCGGTAAGCATACCAATGTACTAGGTCCTAAACCGCTTCCGCATAAATCTAAGATTTCCTATAGATAGTACAGCCCACCTTGCTCTTTAGCATTACCAATCGTCTTCCCCGTGGCGAGATCCTGAAAAACACAATGGGTAGGATAGAAGGTTACAGTACAATTCAAATCTTTTGTAATTTTATGAATAGAAAGAAGATTCGTGGAGAGTTTAGGAACATGAAGAACATCCTTAAGATGTAAGGACTGCTGTAAGTTTATGTCGCCAGAACCCGCAACTGATGTATGAGAGCCATCAGCTACGGCTATTGTATGAGTTCCAATGGTAGGATGATAAGAGGTAAAGGAGTCAGCACAACAAGCCATATGATCAGTAGCACCAGAATCAACAACCCAAGAATGTTTAAAATCATTACATGAAGAAAGGAAAGAATAAGTTTTGGAGCTCATACCAGTCATAGTCAAAGCACTAGTATCAGATGGCTTACTCATAGAATCAAGAATGGTTCGGAGCCGTTCCAACTCATCTGGACGAAGTGCAGGTTGGGTCTTATTAGGTGTAGGAGTTATTTCAGAGGAAGTAAAATGCGCTTGACCACGCAACTTTGCCATCTTTTCTAAGACAGATTGCTTTCCATAAAGGCGAAAGCATAAATCCTTGATATGACCTGTTCTTTTACAATAAGAACACCATCGATCATCTCTCTTAGGTCTAGAAGAGGTACCATCATAAAATTTTGAAAAAGAACTCCTTTGAGAAGAGGCCATACTGCACAGAAAATGGTCAAAGAAAAGCTCGAAGAAGCCAAAAAATCACAAATAAATACCAAACGATGTCCGATCAAAGAGAGGAGCACAGATCCAGAAAGAGGATGAAAAACCACCGGGAAAGGGTCCAATCGTGATGAAAAGATGCTGTCTTGTGATGAAGAATAATGGAGACGATGAACAGTAACAGAGATCCAGTATAACAGAGATCTTCTCGGTCCAAGAGGTCCCCGGAAAAAATCCGGTGGCGGCTGATGGCAGCGAGAGACTAAAAGAATAAAAGGTTCTTGTTCTAAAGATAATAGGCACGGAAGCAGAGCCCTCAGGATCGAGAGCTCTGATACCAACTTGAAATAAAAGGGTATTTGAAATATTATTAAATCGTATTTGAATCTGTACATAGGGGTCTCTATTTATAGAGACTTCTTGACCTAATTTTGACCTAATGGGCTTGGCCCAATATACAAGTAACGGACTAAATAAATATAAATAAATGACTACATAATTACTAATAAATGACTACATAATTACTATTTACAACAGCAATAAATGACTACATAATTACTAATAAATGACTACATAATTACTATTTACAACACATAATTTATATAATCCATCACATAAAGTATCATTACCAATCAAATGATTGTGTTTGTACAAACTGAAACTACCACTACCAAATTTAAAAGAGTACCCAACAACATCAAGTTTGGAAATTGAAACTAAATTCCTAGATATACTAGGGACAGCAAAGTTTCACATAAGTCCAAATGATATCCACTGTCGAGAATTAAACGATAAGTCCCAACAGCTTCCACCGGAACTTTCACTCTATTGCCCAAAAAGACAAACTTTTCATTTGGCCTTGTGGATTTTAGAAGAAGAAGCCTCATTCACTTTAAGGGGTCCTCCTCTTCCTCCTTTCTTCTCATGCTTCTTACCTTTATTCTTTTCAGCTCCTTGATGCTTTACATAATTGACAGAATGAGCTCCCTGATTCTTAATTCTGGTTTCTTCCTGAACTAACATACTGTGCAATTCATGCACATTCCATTTGTCTTTCATGGTATTATAGTTCATTTGGAAAGGACCATACTCAGACGGTAATGAGTTCAATACGAACTGCACCAGGAAGTTCTCATCCACAGCCATTCCCAATGCTTTCAATTTTGCCGCAATGCTTGTCATTTCAATAACATGCTCATGCATAGTACGCGAACCATCAAACTTCATGGTGGTCAGTGTACTCATAAGTGTCCCAGCAAGAGACTTATCAGCGGTTTGGGAGCGCTCTTCCACAAGTTTCATCATTTCGATGGCACTTTCAGTTTGTGGAAGAGCTGACTTAATGTTGCTTACTATGCTCATTTTCATGTACATCAAACTTAATCTGTTGGATCTTTCCCGGTTCTTAAAATGGTTCCTTTCATCCTCAGTGCTTTCAGGAGTAATAACACTAGGTTCCTCTTCTCTTAGAGCCAAATCCATATCCATTACCCCAAGGTAAAAATTGATTTGCTCTTTCCATTCAGAGAAGTTCAGCCCATTAAAAACTGCAACAGTTAAGAACATGGAATGTGTGGCAACAGGTACTACAAGGAATAATATTTAAATATTAATGCTTTGAATCATACATGTCACATACTAACATACTTCACAGATTCAACTATACTAACTTCAATGCATATCAATGTTCGCCTTTGGGGATCCATTAACATACAACATTAACTATAATGATGCTATATAAATTTCACATAATTTGGCAATGATGCATACCCCTATCATAAATATTTGTCATCTTTGGATGTCCAAATGTGAGGAAATATGCCAACAATACCAACATCCATGTTCATTTTATAAAACAAATAATCAACCTTTGGGTTGATCCCTAACTGTCTTATAATAATGAACTTCAATATACCACAACATGAATAATTATCATACTATTCACAGCATCACAGTCATGGTAATTGAAATAAAATTCATAATATTTGGAATTAAAATAACTCTTCAAGATTTGGCCACTTTGGTGACTAACAAATCTATCATAATTAATTCCAAAACTAAAAAATTTCATAAACAATAATAGGATTAAATTTTCACATTCAATTTAATCCAGCCACATCACATAATCATTCAATTTAAAATCGTAAATATTACATAATCATACAGTAGTTTTATCCATTAAATCGAATGGCATGAAAAAAAAAACAAATGGCATTAAATGGCTACTGGAACCTTCAGTCCAAATCAATATCAGTTTCTCCAATAATTTATGAAACCGAGAAGCAAATTCATGAAACAGTGATGCACGTTATAAAATCCAACAGCGATGCACATTTACCGAAAAGCCATTCAAATCAATATAAGTTTCTAAACAGTGAATTGGAAAACCGACATATGGCATCCCAAAATTGAATGGCGTAATTGTTTACATTGAAAAGCCATCAATACAAATAAATGGCTTTGTCACGAAAACCGAGAAAAATTTACGTTAAAAATAAAAATAAAATTCACACAGTACCTTTGTTCTCCATTATGCACGGTTAACATAATCCATTCAAAACAATTGAAAATGCTTTTCAAACTCAATTCAAATCAAAATCGAATGGCATTAAAATCGAATGCAAATTTTCATCCATTAAGAAACTCGAAAACCGAGAACATTCAAGGAGACCTACGACAACAACTTTGAATATTTCTTTAGCCAGTACAAATTCTTTTCATGATGCACGGTTAACAAAAAGCATTTGATATTGATTTCAAAAAATGCTTTATCGATCAGTTTCTCTTTTCATGATGCTTTATCCAAAAGCCTAACTCTTCATGAATCAGAAATTCATTCATAATTATTTATGGAAAAACACAAATTCTTAAACACATGCTCTGATACCAACTGTAAGTAATTTTATCAGTAAATCAGTAATACATGTTCATCAGTAATCATTCAAGAACATGAAAGAGGATCTCTAGAATTCATGAGTTTCACATAAGAGCGTACCTTTCTCCATTAGTGCGGAAGAACTTTGATGATTGGAAGATTGTTTCTCAGAGTCTTTACCCTCTGCTTTCCTTGTATCGTCTATGACAGGGATCTGATACAACTTTTATGGGCAGACCATGAAGGAGAGAATTCTGAGAGATAATCATAATCAGAGACTCACCATTTTTCTCTTTATATAACTGAACCATGTCACCAGTTACGGAGTTTCAAATAACTCCCTGTAACTTCCCATTAATGCGAAACATCAAAACGTCAATTACCATTAATGCAAAACGTTACCATAATGCAAAACGTCAAAACGTCAATTACCATTAATGCGAAACGTCAATTACCATAAAGCCTCTTTTATTATTAATTAAACTAATTGACACACGTTACACATGAGACACAAATAGTTTTACACTTTCGTGTTCTTCTTGAACATCATTCAAGCCCAACTTCCTTAACTGTCACAGCTTTCCCAGCTCTATGAATAACTCTTTGCCGATGCCATCTATGCTCACTTTACACAATGTTTGCAGGGATGTCATCACTCTAATACAATCCTTCAATTGAATCAAAGAAGTGGAAGAACTCAAAAGGAGATGTCGTAGCCTTTTAAGCTTGCGAATCTCCCTTGGCAAATCATGGACATTTGTACGCCTTAGATCCAAGGTCTCCAGATTCTGAAGCTTACCAATGGCTTTGGGAAGATCAGATAAACCTAATCCTGTAAAGCTTAAATACCTCAAGTGGATTAAATACCCCAAATTATTAACAATACGATCAAGTAGTTCATCTTCAAGATCAAGATTTGCATCTTCAAAATCAAGTATCTTCAATGCCTTGTATTTTGTAAGGATAATCCTTGCAAAATGTTCATTCAATATTTCATAGTCGTCTCCGAAATTGAAAATAAACAATGATCGTACGTCCGAGCTTTCTATACTTCCCTTTAAATTATAGACACTGAAGCTTTGTATTGATAGGTGCCCAATTATCCCACTTAACTCTGGCTCACCATATTCATTAATATAGTGGCAAAAACTTAAATCCTTACATTTTATACGGATCATGTCACGCAATAAGTCATGAATGTGACAACTCCTAATTTTGCCATCAATGGTAAAGGAAGATACTTGCACTAAACTTCTGTTAACCAATTCTGTCAAATATTCTTTTGCAACTTCTTCCGAAGTTTTCCTCATTTCATGTTTGACAAAACCCTCAGCAATCCATTGCTGAAACAATCTTTTTGACTTAACTTCATAGTCTTCCGGATATATTCCAAAATACAAGAAGCATTGTTTGAGATAGTAAGGCAAATCATGATAACTAAAAGCTAAAATCATGGTTATAGGAGATACATGGGAATTTTTCTCCAACTCTGAACTTAGATTTTGATTAAACTTTCTCCATTCAATTGCATCTCTACCTTTGGTAGATAAAAGACAACCAGTGGCCACAACTGCTAGTGGTAACCCCTGACATTTTTTAACAATCTCAGAAGATATGCCCATAAGATCTGGTGGACAACATCCATTTAAATCAAATTTGAATGCTTTTTTACAGAACAACTCAAAAGATTTTTCTTGATTTAAAGGTCGCAGTTCATGCACTTGAACAAAAGAAGTTTTTTTGCAACAACTAGCAACACGCATGTCCCTAGTTGTGATAAATATCCTACTTCCATTTTTACTATCAATTAAAGCAAATTGGATCACTTCCCAAAAGTGTTCACTCCACACGTCATCAAATAAGACGACATACCTCTTTTGCCGCAAGTAGTTTCTTACTTCCTTTATCAATGAATCTCGATCCATTGAAGAAATACCTGGAGGAGGATCCTCCTTGTTTTCTTCGTAAAACTTCTGCAGCATGTCCCTCAACAATCTATCCAATCTATCCACGGTGTAGGATTGAGATACTATGATGCATGCATGGCAATTGAAGTGTTCAATCACCTCTTTGTTATCAAAAACTTTCTTCGCAAGAGTGGTTTTCCCCTGCCCTCCCATTCCTACCAGAGATATGACAGTGCGCTCTGCTCTTCCCTTTACCAACCAACAATCAATTCAGCTTTAGGCTCTTCGAAGCCCACAACATCTTCTTCCTCAAGATAAAAAGGAGCTATTCGAAGGTCATCCAATGTAACATTTTGGTTTCCTGTAGAACTTCCTGGTGCTTGTCCCAAAGAAGACTGGATTTGGAAGCGCCATCTTTTTCACTTCTTTCCTTGATTTCACGAACTTGTGATTTAATACCTTGAATCTTACATGCTATCTGAAGCCGAAGGATCATAGTTTTGGTGAAGTCAGCTGGGTCACAGGGTAAAGCAGCACAGCCAGGATCGCGAGGTTGTTGTTCCTCAGAGATAATATATTTATCAATGACATCTTCCATGCGAAAAGCTGCTTCTCTTAGCAACTTCACCTTTGTTTTGATTCCACCACGGGTATTGTCTACTTCAGCTTCAGCCATTCTGTCTGCATCGTTCATGAACTCTTGAATGCTTTCCAGTCCATGCTTAATTTCGGCAATTTCTTTTGGGACGCCCGTGATCGTATTGGCTGTTTCCATTAATACTGGAATCAAATGTTCACGAACAAATGACCACACCATTTCCGCCATTTTAGTCTATCTCTGTTTTTTTTTTTTTTTTTTGCGTTGCGGTGAGAGAAAAAACTTTGTGAGAGGAAATCATTGTATTTCAAGATTTATACAGCTTAAAGTTCATATTGAAATGAAAACTTTAATATTTATTGAGCAAGCTGAATTTAGCTAATTTGAAATTGTGGCGGATGAATCTTCGTACTTCTACTGTTTAAAGTTGCCGTGCTTGTCATTGTTAGTTGTATTGTACCAATAGAATTAGATCTAGCTTGTGCGAATGCCTGAAACTTTGGCTGGCTAACTCTAGCTTGGGTTTTGGATGGTGGTAATTATTTTCCCTTTATTCAAAGACGCCGCGCGTTATAATATCCAAGGGAATAATATGGTCCCCTGATGACCTATAGGCTAAGTTGTCAAACAATATTGATAAACGTTACAAATTTAATAAAATTAAATAATTATTATGCAAGTTCCAATAATAATTTTATGAATTTTATAAATATGTTTTTGTAATTTAAAAATTTGTAGTTAGATCTCTAGACTTACAGAATTTCTCAAATAAACCCCTACTCGATATAGTGTTGGTACTTTGTCAACTATTGTTAAATTATAAGAATTTATTGAAAAACTCAAATAAATTATAAGAATCTACGGAATTGTGTTTGTAGTCAAACAAAGGTTACCACAATTTATTTAAGGGAAATAATTTTCTCATTTTACGTTAGAAAATTTTTTCATGTTATACTCACAATACATGAGTAAGTTTCATCTTAACTTTTTTGTCTTCTCACCTTTTTGTGGACCCCACTCATGTATTGTGAGTGTAGCATGAAAAAATTAATTCCCTTTATTTAATTAAGTTTTTAATAAGTTTTTAGTTTAATAAAGATTAACAAAATCTCAATTAGGGATTACAATTTGGGTTGACATATAATACCACATGACACAAATTTGATTCAAAAACAAACAAATATAATTAACTTGAACACAATACGAATTTGACAAGGAGGTAAAGCATTTGAAATAGACACGATTCGTTTATTTTGCGGATTGACGCGATATTATACAAATAATCGATAGCCTCAAAGTATTTCGCTTATTATTCAAGCTTTTTTAATTATTATTTTTGACACATAAGCTTTTTTAATTTAATTAACTATGGTAATTCCTTTTAATTTTTTTAGTAAAATTTATAGAGCAATTTAACCTTTTTTTTTCTTTTTTGACATTTATTGATCTAAAATTTGGGTTTTACGTTTTTTTATTGATTGACGAACTTAGTAAAAGAAGTTATTAAAATAATCCAAAATGAAATGTCCAAAATAAGATATAAATTATTTAAATATAACACTAAAATATTATATGAATTCAACCTCATAAATCATATAAATCAAGCATCAATTCAACACATTTTAATATCTAAAAATAAACAAATTAGAAAAATAAGATATTATATATTTTTAAATAAAAATTATGAGAATATGTTATTGAATTGTAATTATCAGCAACACTTTTAGTTATAAAACATATATCTCACACATATTGGGCGTTTAACTTGCAGCAGGATAATATATGTTTGCAATATTTCATTGTCTAATTATCTTACGTATAAATTTTACATATTTTACCATTTTAACTTATGAAATTATACATATCCTTATGTTACATGTATTAAATTATTTAAATTAATTACCAGGCAAAATATTATATATATGAATATACAAAAGAAAAAATATAAATATATAAAATAATATATAAACTATTATAACATATTTTAAATTATGTGTAAATATATAAGTACTTAAAATTGAAATTAATAAATATATTAATATTTTGGTCCTTTTTTAAGTGGTTAATATTTTCTTTTATTGATTGCAAAAAGATAAATAATATTTTGAAAATAATAAATTTGTTCAAATACAAATTCATATACAAAAGAAAAAACTTAAACATGTTGTTTGAAATTTTCATATAATACATATCATTTCATAGTTTCAAAAATGAATTGCATTTCGGTACTGAATTTTTTTTTTATAAGACATTAACTGAATTTTTATAATTAATATTTTGGGATTTCATTTTTAATTACGTGTATTCTTGACATTTCATTTATAATTTAAAATGTTTTTAAAATTTTATATACTAATGGCATCTTTGACATTGAGGGAGTTAAGTGATTTACATTGTGACCAAAAGGGGTTGAAGAGATAAGTTTAAAACCTATGGGGTAAGTGATGCATACTATAATCACAAATAGTGAAAATGAAATCATTCCAATAATAAAATAATTCCATAAAGAATAAATGAATTCAATAAATTTTTAATTCATAAAATGCAATGGCACGAACAATAAATAATATAATTAAATATTAATTAGTAACAAATGACATAACTATTGTCACCCCAGAGTATGCTGGCACTGCCATAAAGAAGGCCACTTGAAAAGGAACTGCTCTGAAAACCCAAGAAGTATCCCCAAACAGCAAAGTAAACCAGAGTATGCAAATGTACTCATTGAGTTTGACAATGTTGAGGCATTGGTTTTGTCTGATAAAACTTTTGAGACTGAATGGGTGATGGATTCTGGGTGCACATATCATATGACACCCAGAAAAGAGTGGCTTAGTGGGTTGAAGTTTCACAGGGGTGGCAAAGTCTTAATGGGGAATGACCAAGTGTGTGAGATAAAAGGTGTGGGGTCTGTTATGTTCAAGATGGGTGATGAGAGTTGTAAAATTCTAAAAGAAGTTGAGGAGAAACCTGATCTCAATGTTATTAAACCCGGACAGGTGATCGACCCGGTCGGGGTACCGGCTCGGTGGGTCATTGGTTCAACCGCATGAACCGGATATGTATATAAGTTTATATTTTATACTTAATTATATAATAAATATTTTAAATGGTGCAAGTGAACTCTTTTACCTTTGTAATTTGTAATCCAGTTCACTTTATTAATTATCATTGTGACTTCCAAACAATAGAGTGGTACTCTTTTACCTTTCCACTCGATCTCATTCCACACCACTCTACCCACCCTCTTCAAAACTCCCATGTCTTCAAAAATCAATGTCACCATTCTTCGTACCAGCTTTGGAGCCATTAAAGAATTAAATAAGAAAAGAAAAGGCCAATAATAGAGGCAAAAGGAAGACTGGGAATGGAGCCACAAGAAGCGCAACAAGCCAATAACAACATATTCTATATATATAGACATAATAAAAATAAAAGGTTGTAGGTGGGTTCAACTTCATGTGTTTTTGATAATATACCATATTAATATTATACCACCGCCTCTCTCTGTTCTCTGGAAGGAAACCCCAAAATCTTATCACCTTGTGTGGTTGTCACTGCCACATACATCTCGTAGTTGCAAACAGAGAAGAGAGATGCACTTCCGTCATCGTCAAGCACATAAGAGCCACCGTCCCCCTCGTAAGTCGTAACTTTCACTTTCTAGATCTCTTCTCATTCAACCTTATGTTTTTTTCCTTTTTTCACAATCCAATTCACTCTGTTAATTTCATCCATTCATCAGGTGTGGTCGCTGGTTAGAGAGAATTCTCCAATTTCAATCCCTATATGAAACCACAGATAATAGAACCAAAAGATGGGGAAACATTCACAGAGGAGGAGGCCATTAACTGAGAAGCTGCAGCTAACCTTTGTTGTTGAACGGATTTAGATCTGAAAGATTTAAAGGTTCCACATCGGCCAAATAAGGGAAAAATATATTGTTTATAAACTGTTGGACATGCCTTAGGTACAAAATTGTTCACGATATCCACATGGTCTTAGGCCAAGAAAATTGGTTCGTTATCTAGGTCGAGTCACCGGTTAATAGCCGGTTTTGATAAACTCGGCTGGGTTAACCCGGTCCGTACCGGTTCAAAAGCATCACTGATCTGTTTTGAAACTCGGACCGGTTCCATGTCCGGTTTGAACCGGCTGGTCCAGTCCGGTTTTAATAACATTGCCTGATCTCCTTAGGGTTGATTCTAGTGGCCTTGAGTTTAAGAGTAAGCAAGGGTCACTTGAAATTGTCAAGGGATCACAAGTCCTCATGAGAGGAAAGCTTATGAATGGCCTATAAATATTTTAGAAGGCCAAGCAGTCACACAAAAGGCTTGTGTGGCAGCTGCTAACACTGATGAATCCATTCTCTGGCATAGGAGACTTGGACACATCAACAATCAAGGGTTGTCTGAGTTGTTTAAGCAAGGTATTATTAGCTCAAAAGGGGCAACTAGTGTGGAATTTTGTGAAAATCATGTTTTAGGAAAAACACACAAGCTGCCCTTTTTTGCTGCTAGTAATACCTCTAAGACAGTGTTGGAGTATGTTCATTCAGACCTGTGGGGGTCTCCAAATGTCCCCAGTTCTTTATCTGGATGTCACTATTTTATTTCAATAGTTGACTCATATTTCATAAGGTTCTGGACTTATTTTCTAAAATAGAAAGATCAAGCTTTTGCAAGTTTTAAGGATTGGAAAATCCTGATTGAAAACAAAACTGGAAAAAGGGTCAAAGTCCTTAGAACTGACAATGGCCTAGAGTTTTGCAACAATCAATTTGCTGATTTTTGCAAGGAGCATGAAATCCAAAGACATAGGACCTGTGCTGAAACACCCCAACAAAATAGGGTGGCTGAGAGGATGAATAGGACAATTTTAAATAAGGCGAGGTGCATGCTTGTTGAATATGATCTCAGCAAGGTTTTTTTGGGCAAAAGCTATTGCTACAGCCACCTATGTTATAAATAGGTGTCCTTCCTCCACCATAGACTTTAAGACCCCAATGGAACTTTGGTCAAATAAGCCACCCAATTTAAGTCACTTAAAACCTTTCTGGTGTCTTGCCTATATGCATATTAGGCCAATAAGGTTATTGGACTAACACTGCCTATTGGACTAATATTTGCCTATAAGTATTTCATAAACATTGAGTGTTTTCTCTCTAATATTTGCTTATTGGACTAATCCATTTATCCGATGCATGTTATTTTATTTTATTGGGCCAATGAGGTTGTTGAGGCTCATTATCTCATTTGCTGGTCAGCTGTAGTTGGAGTTGTGGGCATTATTCAACAACACAATCAAAACGTCTTCGTTTTGTATTATGAAGGCTAAGTGGTTATTTACTCCATTTAGCTGAGCTCATATTGTTAAGCATGCAATATCTGTTTTTGTCTGATCTTGAAAAACTCTCAGATCTGTTCATTAGGGTTTGTGAGTGAGTATATCATTTGCAAAATGTTGAGTGATATACTGTGAATTTGCATATGGTGTTTTAGAGAATCTTGTTCAGCTCAACAAGACGATTCTATTGATTGGTGCACATTTCCAATTAGTGTTCAAAGAGTTGGAGAGTTCAATCTTGTGAGGAAGAACGTTGAAGCTGCTGCTGGTGAGCTTGTAGATCTTGTGTTAGGAACAACGTTACCTTTGCGGTTAACGAAGATTGGGAAGTTCTCTCTATTTCTTTAGCTCTGATTTTATAGTTTTCTTTACTGGTATATGAAACTTGATGGTTTATTTCAAGGTTCTATTTTATTTTATTTTTTGGATTACAAGGAAAGCAAAAAGAAACTAGACTGAATCAGAAATGGGCATAGACAAGCCCCTACAATCCTCTAATACTATGTCCTTACACCCATCTGGTGGAATGCTATACCAATGTGTACCCCAACTATTATCAACCCTGAGTTTGGCTAGCCAATCAGCAACTCGGTTGCCTTCTCCAAGTGTATGTAAAATATCCACATGCCAATGACTAAACATCAGCTCTTTAATCCTATTAACAAGAAAGAAGCAAGGATGAGAACTAACACACCTATGTGCAATCAGCTGAGATGCAACCAGGGAATCTCCCTCTAGCACCACATTCCTCATATTCTTCTGCCAAATCCATTGCAGCCCTACCAATATGCCCCACAATTCTGCCATTAAAACTGACTCATGCCCAAGCTTTCTGGAAAAGCCATGTGTCCAGTTTCCATGTTCATCCCTAAGCACCCCACCACAGGCCAAATCACAACCATTAGCCCTGCAGGATCCATCAACATTAAACTTAAGCCAGCCTTGTGAAGGAGCCCTTCAGCTGACCCGAACCTCTCACAGGCTCCAACTCAAGACCTGTCCCCTTTAGCACATCATTGGCAGAAGTAATACTCACAATGTGAATAGAATTTTTTCTGAAGAAAGTCTGGGGATCTAAGCTTTGACCTTTAAAAATAAAGTTGTTCCTCTCCTTCCATATATACCAACAGATCACACCAAATTTAAGTTTCCAATCAGAACTATGACCTTTGGAGTTGAGGTTCATCATCATCCAGCAATCAAATGGTAACCCAAAAAACTGCCTACTGTCTGCACTATCAATCCAGTGCTTCCAGATATCCCTGGTCCACCCACAACTCCTGAAAATATGATCCCTGTTTTCAACTGGAAATTGGCATCTGGGACAGCTTGAATTATCAGCCATGTGCCTTCTAACCCTTTCAGCATTGGATAAAATCTTATTACTATAAAGAAGCCATAGAAATACTTTAATTCGTTGGGGCTCCCCCATCTCCAAATTAAACCCCAGTCAACAGTATCCTGACTGGACTAAGGAGAGCAAAGAGATGAATAAGCTAAGCTCACCGAGAAAGCACCAGAAGAGGAATGGCTCCAAATAACTTTATCTCTGTCATCAGAGTCCTTAGGAGGGGGGATACCTGATATAACAGAAGTAATGCCCACAGGTAGAAATTGATTCAGCAGCTCCCAATTCCAATCACCTTCATTTGATACACAGTCAACCACTCTCCACTTGGAGATAGCTTCAGGCACTTCAGTTTGAGCCTCATCAAGAAGTCTATTGATTCCAGGTAACCAGTTATCCTCCCAAAACTTTATGTTCCTACCATCACCAAGCAAAATTCTGGCACCCATTTGAACCTGACCCCAAACCTGCTGAATACCTTTCCAAGCATTAGAAGCATTTTTAGATACAGGGATATTAGGAATCATGGCATTATTAACCTTATACTTGGCTTTAAGCACCTTCACCCAAAGATCCTCCAACTTACTGATGAGACCAAAACCAAGCTTCATAGAGAAAGCTTTGTTTATTTTCACCTGGTCCCTAAGGCCTAACCCTCCATCCTTCTTAGGCTGACAGACTTTGGTCCAATTAACCAAATGAGTCTTTCTCTGGTTCAGTTTGGATCCCCATAAGAAACTTTTAGTGAGCTTCTCCACTTCTCTACATACCCCAAAAGGCATGGCAGAAGATTGCATAGTATATGCAGGCAAAGCTTCCAATACAGCTTTGGCCAGGGTAGCACGACCAGCCAGAGAGAGGGACTTCTGATTCCAAGAAGTTAGCCTTGCATGAACTCTGTCCAGCACATAACTAAAAGACTTCTTGGAAATTCTCTTGTGATGCATAGGTACCCCCAAATATTTACCCAAATCAGCATCTATACAGAAGTCTAGACAATCACTAATCTCCTTAGCCTTGTTAAAACACACATTTTTAGAGAAGTGGACCCTTGTTTTCTCTCTGCTCACCTTTTGTCCAGAAGCCTCCTCAAACACTTTGAGGACTTGATTTATCACTTGAGCTTGGTCAAGGCTAGCCTCAGCACTAAAAATAATATCATCTGCAAAGAACAGATGTGAGAGAGGGGGGCATTTTTATTAATCACCACTGGTTTCCAAGCTTTCACATCAACAGCTACTTGGATAAGTTGAGCCAATCTTTCCATGCAAATGACAAAAAGATAAGGGGATAAGGGATCCCCTTGTCTAATTCCTCTCTCCGGAATGATATCTCTAGTGGCCACACCATTCCATAACAGCTGAAACGAGGCAGAAGAGACACATCTACCAATCAGATTAGCCAGAGAGCTAGGAAGACCAAGATCCCTCAAGGTTTCTCTAATAAAATTCCAGCTAAGCCTATCATAGGCTTTCTCCAGATCAACCTTTATCATCATCCACCCCTTACTACCTTTTCTGCTCCTCATTGAATGTAAAACTTCTTGGGCCACAATTATGTTATCAGCACTTTGTCTGCCCTTAATGAAGCTGCTTTGGTTGGGGGAGATTAGCTTGGGCATTAAATCCCTCAATCTATCAGAGATAGTCTTGGTAATGATCTTGTAAATCACATTACAAAGACTAATTGGCCTAAACTCCTTCATATTCTCAGGGCTGTCCTTCTTGGGGATCAAACAAATAAAAGACTTATTGATCTCCTTTACTTTCTCAGGGGTTTGAAAGCATTCCTGAACCACTTGGATAACTGACTCCCCTATAATATCCCACTGGCTTTGAAAGAAGATAGCATGAAGGCCATCTGGGCCAGGGGCCTTAAACTTTCCCATACGAAAAATAGTTCTCCTAATTTCCTCCCTGCTAGGAATCTGGCCAAGCCTTAGATTATCAATATCTGACAGCTTAGGGAAAGCACCCTTAATAGGAAAGAATCCATCATCAGGAAGATCAGCTTTGAAAAGCTTTTGATAATAGGACACAACCATATTAACCAGAACCTTGGGATCATCTATCCAATTCCCATTCTCATCCTTGAGAGTAAGGATTCTGTTCATCCTTCTCCTCATCACTGTGGAAGAGTGGAAGAACTTTGTATTTTTGTCACCATATTTCAGTCAATGGAACCTAGATCTTTGAAACCAGGTTATTTCCTCCGAAAGAAGAATGCCTTGAAGCTCCTTCCATAAGTTTTTTGCAAAATCTCCAAATTATGGTCAAAGCTCCCATTTCTGTAACTGTCAAGACCCCTCAGTCTAGCATAAATCTTATTTTTCTGATGGAAATTCCTCCTAAAAACATTCTGGTGCCACTCTTTGGCTTCCCTATCAAACTTGCTCCTTGCCTGGTTCCAACAAATATTATTACCCCAACTGTTCCTGACCAATCTACCAAAGTCTTGATCAGTTAGCCAAGCAGCCATGAACTTGAAGGTTATGGTATGATCACCAGGTCTAGGGGGACCACTCTGAGCCACCAGTATAGGCCTATGATCAGAATTGAAAAAAGGTAAGTGAGATATAAATCTGTCAGGCCAGAGGATATCCCAAGATTCATTGGAGCAAGCCCTGTCAATTCTCTCATGGAGCTTCCCCCTCTTCCAAGTAAAACCAGGGCCTTTATACCCAATGTCACTAACTTTGCAATTTAGAAGACACTGCTGCATATCTGCCATACTCTCCCAACAGACCCCCTGCCACCAATCTTCTCCGAAGCATGCAAAACAGAATTAAAGTCACCAATCAAGAGCCATGCCCCCTGAATTGATTGACTAATGATGTCTAGCTCAGCCCAAAGAATCCTCCTCTTAATCCTCCTAGGGCTCCCATAAACAAATGTAATGAGTTCAATCTTCATAGACAACAAATGCACTACCTTAGTGTGAACAAATTGGTGGTGGGTTGAGATGATCTCAAGATCAACCACCTTATTATCCCAAAGGATCCAGATCCCACCAGAATACCCATCAGCCTCCTGCTTAAAGTAGTTAGGGAATCCCAACTGCTTGATAATGTTATCACCCTTAGAACCAGAAGTTCTAGTTTCCAAAAGAGCTAAGATATCAAACTTAAACCGAAATTTTAAATCTCTAATGAGAGTGGTAAAACCCTTTTTACCAACTCCCCTACAATTCCAAGTACAAACAGTCATGAAAATAACTATTATACAAAAGAAAAAGAACAAAAGAAACCAATAAAAACACACCCAAGGATGGCTAAGCACAAGAAGCTCCCAACTTGGGAGAGGGTACCTCAATATTCTGCTCAAATTGGTTCTTTTGCATAGGGCTAGTTGGACCCCTTCCCTTCACGACCTGGTTAGACAGCCCTTCCAGTTTAACTTTCAGGTCCAAGCTGGGTTTCCCTTTCTCTTTCAGTCTACTAGAAGCAGAATTAAGAGGTTTATTTTCAGTACCACCTTTATTTTGCAAAGGGCTAGTTGGATCCCTTCCCTTCTCCTTAACACCTTTAGCAGGGATGCCTCTGATCTTGCTATTAGCTACTCCTGGCTTCCTCAAAGTGCCCTGGTCAAGGTGATTCCTATCCCCCAAGGGAATCTGATCATTACTGATATGCTGCTCATCCTCCCCTAATTCCATAGCCACTACCTCAGGACCCTGAATGATGGTCTGAACAGCTTCCATAGGAACACCAGCATTCACAGCATCCTCTTGCACCTTCTCCACAACAGACACCTTCTTGACCCCTGATGTACTTTCCCTCACATCTTCAGTCTTCATTTTTGAAGGGACAACCTTCAACTTCCTCCCCCTGGGCTGCCTTTGGACCACTATCCATTCTCCAAAAGCTTCCTTTTGCTTTACTTCGACCTCAGCTTTGTCTGAACTATTATGATCTGATTTCGTAGGGGGGGCCTCTTCAACAGATTTTTGAATCTCCTGAGTAGCAGTATCAGAACATAACTCTTTTTTATGACCATAGACTCCACATTTGAAACAAATCAAATGTAAGCCTTCGTATCCTACCTGATAAACTTTCTCACCTATATTAAATTGTGACAAAAAACTCTTTCTCAAATCCACCTCCACACATATGCGGGAAAACCGAGCTCTCTCAGTGATGACCTCCAAACCAGAGTCACTCTTACGAAGAGAGTTTCTATTAACCTTCAGAGTCCTCCCAAAAATGCTGCCAATCCTCCATAGGTGGCGTGCAGTATAGAGCTCAATGGGTAACCCAGGAATCCTGACCCAAAATGCCATCTTCTTAACTTGATCATCATATGGGTCAAAGAATGACCTCCATCTTTGGACCACAACATAGTGATCATTCACGATCCACGGTCCTTCTTCCAGGACATGACGGTAATCATTGTCGTTCTGGAACCGCAGAAACAGAAAACCATTGTCTAAATCAATTAGCTCATATGGACTCACCAAGTTCCATAGCCTTTGAAGTCTAGCCATCAGAAAGCGAGGAACAATCCTCTTTCCTAGCAATTTGATGATTAAAGCCTTTCGCCACTGCTTACAGTCCTCCAAGTGCTGAGCCCCTGATATGTGATAAGTTGGACAGAGGGGGTCCTCCCTAGTAATATGAGAACTCTCATCCATGAGGTCCTCCTCGTCATCCTCCCTTTGTTGCCTAGTCAGCCAGTCTTCTTCCTCACTATCCGAGGCATCACCACTATTAAGCTTCAGTAGTTTGTCCTTATACGACACCAGGTTGGTTCGTAAGCTACCAGTAGATTCTGACCCCTTCTTCTCAGCCTGCATGGGGGGATTAGGATCTAGATTCTCTCTCTCCACACCCTTCTCGATCATCGGAGCATCCATGACCAGATCCTCACCCATAACACCCAAATCCCCTTTTGGTTTCTTACCAGTTCGCAAGGACATATCCTCCTCAGATTGTACCCTCTCTCTACCTCCCTTCCCTCCATCTCCCTCTGGGGAAACTTGATTCAACATCACTTTGTCTTCCATCAGCAATCAGAACGAAAAATCAAAGAAAAAACCTCAAAAAAGAACGAGAAGCGAAACCCTAACAGAGAAAAAAAATTCGCGCGCGTAGGTCTACGCGCCCCTCATCAGTGAATTAGATATTCTTAATAACAAGGAAAAGGAACCTTTTGATCAGCTTGCTCTCTCTACCTCACGTTCTTATTTGTTCTTCATTTTTGTACCCATTTTTTGGAAAACATGAATCTTTTTTCATCTTCTATTTTGGATCTTAGTTTTTGTTTTAGGAATTCTCTACAATGTTTCGGTGTATGCTTTATTGTCTTTTATTTTATGCTTACACATACTCCGTAGCATGAGAAGTCTTTGTTGGTTGGAATATACAAGTATCCAGTTCTGTAACTAACGTTCTGATTTTGTGGGCTTTTTGACCCTTATAACCCTTTACTAATAATTAATTACCAAATTGACCTTCATTATAAACTATTTCAAAAATTTAACCCCCTCAAAAACATAACACCAATCTGTCCCTGTTTGACCGTTGACCACGAAGCCTACCCGGGTACACCCCTACCTACCCGGGTATATTTTGAAATTTTTTGTTTACCCGGGTAGAAAGGTGTGTACCCGGGTATTGTTCTTGATTGCTTGAATTATTTACCCGGGTACGGATTAGTGTACCCGGGTAAATCTTGTATGCCCGATTTTGGAGTTCGTGAATTATCAACTATCGTTTCCTTCTGAATAAATGAATACAGACAATTTCTGTTTCTTTGTGTGTGTGTGTGTTTTTTTTTTTCCAATGTCTCTACTATATATTACTGTCCTTCCGTTTCTGGTATGTCAAACAATTCTATGTATAGATTTAGGAACAAATGGTTAGCTTATAATCTCCAGTGGTGTTACACGAGTTGGAATGCCAAGGTGCACTAAATTATGCGCTTGGGATAGTGGAAGGTAAGAATCTTGGTATCAACACAGTGGCAGAAGGCTTGGTGAACGATGAGAAGTGAGAACAACTTAATTTTCAACAACGGGGTTGTGCAACATACAATTCTTTGAGAATATGTAAAGTGTATAGACACTAGACAATACATAATCTCACACCTTAATATATATAACATATTTTTTTAACCATGAACAGAGTCGATGATAACTTACTCAGAAAAGGATATAAATAACAAAAAAGGAAATAATAACATATAGAGTAACACATAGAATTCATTAAATTAGGCATATAACAAAATCATGACCTTTTACTGCCACTACCAACACAAAAGAAACAATCCACGACAGCCTTGACAAATCCAGGGAGCAACTGATAGAGAGAACGATTAAAAGTATTAGGCCACCAACTTTTTTGCTCCAAGGATCCATGGCAACCATAAGGTGAAACCAATATCTCTGTTACAAAGTCTCAAAGTCTCTGTTACAAGATTTACCCGGGTACACTCATCCGTACCCGAGTAAATAATTCAAGCAATCAAGAACAATACCCGGGTACATACCTTTCTACCCGGGTAAACAAAAAATTTCAAAATATACCCGGGTAGGTAGGGGTGTACCCGGGTAGGCTTCGTGGTCAACGGTCAAACAGGAACAGATTGGTGTTATGTTTTTTGAGGGGGTTAAATTTTTGAAATAGTTTATAATGAAGGTCAATTTGATAATTAATTATTAGTAAAGGTTATAAGGGTCAAAAAGCCGATTTTGTGCCATAAGTAATGAATTGTTGATTTGTTTTTGGTTTAACTTGCTAATGTGACTGACCTCAATTGGGCAATATTTTAGAATTGACTTCTAGTAACAATTTCATTGAAATCTGATCCAGACCATATGTTGTGGTATTACTCTTTAGCATTTACTCACAAGTCACTTTAGGAATGAAGGAAACCATACATACTCAATTGAAGAGTTGTTGAATTTAAAAATGCTCATAGAAATTAGATCTTAAATTGGAATATGTAAGGTAGAACCTCAGAGGAGCGAAATTAGTGTGATAGGAATGTGTGCTAATGTTTAAGCAAACATGAATAGTAATTTTATTTTTTTTGATAGCCAACATGAGTAGTAATTTATTAATGTGTTAAAGATGCTTAATTAGTTTATTGATTTCTATAATGGGGAATTATGCTCCAATCAGTTTCCTTCATCTTATTTCACCTTATTTGAATTTGTATATATATATATATATATATATATATATATATATATATATATATATATATATATATATATATATGCGGTAGACAATTTAATGCACTCTATTCTAGGTTTTCCTCCAAGATATTGATAATTTCTGCTCCAACTTTTTGTTCATATGTTGAGTACAACTTCTACAACCATATTTTTAAAACTTTCGTTGCTGGAATAATATCCGAAACTCTAACATACAATGTGTTACTTGATATGCGCACTTGTGCTTAAGAGCTCAATAATTGCTTCAAATATATCCCCTTAATTAGCATTTATTTGATTAAGCTCCACCAAATACTATCCAATAGAAACTTAATACGAGCCATAGGAATTGGAAGCATAAGTAAAGAAGAGACTAGATTGTCATTTGTCTGCATAATTATTTTAATCAATTGTGAAGGCCATTTAATTTTCTGCAGAAATTAAAACAAGTATTCATTCTTAACAAGATTTATCTTTTTATTCTTTAAATAGTATACATACTATCACCCATTAAGATATACTACGATATTTTAAGCCGGAAAAAAGATGAAGCTGCAGCATTTATTTAATAAGCTGGTAATTAAAAGACATAACATAAGTGCATTCGTAGAAATGAGTCCATGTTGTGATGCAGGGTAGTATAGGGAAATAAAAATAGTGACCATAAGTATAATGTTTCTTCTTGCACATGGGGTAGACCACTGCCTTCATGAAACTTGACCTATGAATGCAAAGGTGGTGGCCGAATGGGCTTTCGCACAGAACGTTCTTCGGGTTTTTCAGGGACGCCAATGGGGGGTGGGTTCCGTCTTGTAAGAGTCTTCGGTGGTGGTGACACTGGCGTCTCTGTTTGGCTCGGTGGATCGTAATTGGGTCCACCGGGTGGCGGTGGCTCTTGTGGTTCAATGGGTGGCTCGTTAGTGAGTTCACCAGGAGGCGCTGGCTCTTGTAATTGAGGCCGAGTCAGTCCCGCAAGATTGAACATTATAACTGCAAGGAACACAACAAGTATCGGTGAGACAGACATGTTTCGAGTACGTCTTTTTAATTGTGATGATCGAGGCACTGCTTGAATAACATAATAGACTTGCTTTTATACTAACTTTTAAGGTAGTTGTTGTATGATGACAACTTTTCGTAACAAGGGTGCGGAAAGGGTCAACTGTTTTGGGGTCTGCGAATTCACTTTCCGTGTCGCTGTATCAATCGCCAAGAATTTTCTACACTAATTTACGTGCAATTCACCAAGAATGACCAAATAATCACTAGTTTTTTTTACCCACGCGGAAAAAATTTCACTATATGTTTCCTTCTACTTCTCTCTCACTTTGTGGCAAGAAATTTCTTGTATGACTGATTCGAAGAATTTAAATTTAAAATTGTTAAATTGATTTTCAATTTTAATTGATACTTCATATATAAATTCTCAAAAATCTAAATCAGATGTAAATACTTGTCTCTTCTCTGTTCTCTCTCTCCGTCTCTCCGAATTCATTCTAAGAATTTAAATTAAAAAATATTAAATTAATTGTCAATTTCAATTGATATTGCGTAGTTTCTCAAAATTCAAAATCAGTTATAAATACTTGGTCTAAGTAGATAAATTATCTGTAGTAAGTCCAGTACAACGTCATTTTGAGACCAAAGTTATGATATTTTTGTAATTTTAATTTATTTTAAAATTATTGTAGTCTTTATAATTAAATAATAAATATAGATAATTTATCTGCAGTAACTGCAGAAATATTTTTGTTGTTTATATATTTGTGGAATGATTGTAATCAGTGTATGTCACATATTGACTATGGAAAGAGTGATGCAATATACAGAAGAGAATGTAAAAGCAACGAGATACAGATCTTGCGCAGAAAAGGCAAATATCGACATCAGAAACCAGAATTAGACAATTCAAAATCGAAAGGACAAAAGAAACACGTGTTTGTCATTTTAAATGACATAAAATATTGTCATTTTAAAAGAGATAGACACAAAATAATATTTTTTTATTAAAATTTAAATTAAAAAAAATCACTCACTTACTTCTCTATGATTTTTATTTCTTGTATCTATATCTATTCTAAAATGACATCATTTAAAACGACAAAACATCAAACACTAGCAAAACAGAGTGCATCTCAGAAAATTAGCTCTATTGTCATGCATTATTAAAAAAAAGAAAAAGAAAAAGAAACACTGTCTCTTTCCCCTGTCCTAGTCCATCACTAAAATGGGTAAAGTAAACTTAGAAGTCAACAACCAATCAAACATAAAATAACTACAGATGAACACAATTGTCAACAATATGCAATTACTCATGGACCTGAATGGCAGCCTGAAAATTCTCAATTACGTGCATTACACTCAACACATAAACCTAGATTTCACCGGTTCAAATTGAAAGAAATTAAAATTCCTACCACACCTGTCGTTTTCCCCAGAAACTGAACGGACAAATACCTCCATGGGAATTTGAAAATTGACAAGATCCAAAAACTTTAAATGAATTCCAACCTGTTCTTTTGAACTTCCTCAATGAATAAGGCGTAAAATATGATCCAGTAAAAGTTAGACACTAACGAATAAGGGAAAGGAAGTTGAAAATAAAATAAAAATCGAAACATAGGGAAAGAAGAAAAAGAGCAAGGAATGAAGTTTGGGGAACGTGGTCAATTCGGGAGAAGGGTAAAGTTGGAAAAGAGATGTGCAGGTAACGTCACTTTTATATATGAGAAGATGGTCAATGACTTGTGCAAAAAAAATTGAAGTCATAAAGTAAAACTGATTTTTGTGTTATATTGCGACAAAATTTTTCTTTTACTTCAAGAGACCCATGTTTATCACAAAGAAATTATAACCATCGGATTCATAGAAATTAAATTAACTAGTAAGATTTGATATTAAAATTTTTAGATTAACCATTCAAAATTTTCTTTTAGATATGTCTATCCTGCCCCAAATATATTATTCCTTTACTAGAAATTTAAAAAGAAACTCATGATATTAATTATAAAGTACTGAGTGGAATAAATATAATTATAAGGTGATTTATTTTTTCTCATAATGCACTTGAGTGAATATTGAAATTGTTTTCCCCAACTTTCAAGTGCAATCTCACCACAACACATAGGAAGTTGCTAGCTCCAAATTCACTTAGGGGACGTTTGGTAGATGAAATATTTTTTTACTATGTAAATGCAATTATCAAGAATACGGTAGGAAAGTTAAAAAAAGTTATTTGGTTGATTAAATTTTTACCAGGCAAATTGGGTTAAATTTTGTGAGTCTTTGTGTGATTGCAAGATTTGTGTGCAGAAGAATTGTTTGCTTCAGTAAAACTAACATATCGAAAACCACTTACGTATTCAACTTTTGGCCATGTCTTTTGTAACCCACGAGTTTAGTAAAGCAGATGTAGTTAGAAGAGGGTAATTTTGTCACAAATTTCATCAACTTTTTCCCACTTACCTTTATGCAAATACCACATTGCAAATGGTAAAGTTAAACATCGTTTTGTTTCCTTTTTTCCACACGAACTTGAAAGGCTGGGCAACATAGTTGATTGGGTAAATTTTTATATCTCTTCTACCAAACAAAGACAACATACAATACCAAACTCAGATAAATAGGAATCTGAACCAAAACCCTGAACCAAACACTACCTTAGGGAAGAGTGTAAGACTCCATCAACATACTCGATTCAAGGATATAGAGAAACATTTAGGGTCATGATTATCATTAATCAAATGGAATAATGTAACACCTCCAATTATTAGTTTTCATAATAAGGTTATGTTTGTATCATGTTGCAGAAAACAAGAGTAATTTTCCTCCCGATTAGGCAAAGGAGAGAGAGAAAGTGAGATAAGAAAAGTAAAAAAAAAAAAACTTGTGGGGCCCATGATTTCATTGTGTGTGCAGGTAACTACAGTAATTTTCCTGTAACATTATCTTTACATTTCCCTTCATAATACATAACATTGTAACTTTGCATTTGGCGAAATTAAGTACAGACGTAGAAATACGAGGAATATATACGAGAAATATATAACATTGTAATTTTTTTAAACACCATATACATTTACTTTCATTGAACATACATGATACAATCAGTAATTTAATACAATGCGATGACCTCCTAAAATGGGGCATTTATCTAATACGAGAAATATTCATCATAAAATACGATCCCTCGTAGATAGTTACATAATCAATTGCATCAAAAAATATTTTACCAATTTAATATAAAAATGATAATTTTCAATATGACCCGAATATGATATGAATTTTTGTGTCAATTAGAATTTATATTCGAGTTATATTCATGTTGACCAAAAAGAGACCCAAAATAAATTGTGTTGTGTTGGTGATAGGATTATTTGTATTTGAGTCATATTCCTTAAACTCATTTGAATTAAATTTATACTCACTCACCCACTTTGAGTCATGTCTAAACAATCATTCATGTCTAAACAAGTCTGCTCATATCAAGGGTTTCACACAAATTATAGTTGTTCATGTTTATGTTTCTGTTCGTAATGTGAGTATATTCATATTCATGTCGTCCTAAACATGAACCACCGATCCAAATCACCACCCTTAGACTTAAATATATGCAAATGAACATTATAATTGGTCAATTACCCTAAGGTACACCTACTACTATCATTATAGTCTTCAAAGTGCAAATATAAGGCCCCTGTACTATTAGTGGCTTAAAACTTAAAAAGATTTCAATATGGCGTTTACATTTCTGCAACTGTTGTACTTGCAGCAATCAAATACTTTCCATATATATACTTGAAAGGATTAAATGCGGGGAATCATAACCATAGAAATGATGAAAGCATTAAATGTGGAAAATCATAACCATATACATGTCGTTGTTGTACGTAAAACGGCTGCAGAAATGATTTTACCTTTCAATATATATATATATATATATATATGGTTCGTTTTTTCTGCAATTATTGCATATAAGTTATCTGCAGCAAACCCAATACGACATCGTTTTGAGGCGGAAATCATGCTATTTTTGTAATTTTAATTTATTTCAGGGTTATTATAGTCTTTATAATTATAATTTTTTAATCTTTCAATCCAAAAACGACGTCGTTTTGAGAATAAATGCAAATAACTTATCTGCAGTAACTGCAGAAGTATTTTTCTGATATATATATATATATATATATATATATATATATGAAAACACCCCTACCTAAAAAGAAATTAATCCCATGTGGTGTGTTTCAGTCGTATTGTCACATATGAAAAACTGATCATGGCTTAATAATCATTAATATGTTGGGTATAACTCATACTTCGCATGCTGATGAGGCCCCTAGTTGTCGGGGTCAACAGAAAGGCAACTGGGGTCCCGCTCCAAGGTGAGCCGGCGGGGGTCTGGGGGAGGTGAATATATTTTCCTTGAAAACCGAGTAACTTGTAACGAGTGACAATGAGATGAATATAGTACAGACAAGCTGGACGTAGCCTAAATTGGGTGAACCAGGGTAAATCTCTGTGTCTATTCTCTCTCTCTCTCTCTTTCTCTTTTCGTTTGCGATTTGTGTGATTGTCGATTTCCAACATTTGGTAGCAAGAGCTTTGGTTCTGCGATAGGGGTTCCTGTGACAGATTGGAGTTTCGCGATTTGGGATTTTTTCTTGGCATAGAGAAAATTGCGAAATTGATCTGGAGAGGATGTCGAACTGGCCAATCACGATCAGAGGTTGAAAAGTTCGGAGGAAAAGGGTTCGAGTTATGGAAGCTGAAGATGGAAGCTTTGGTCGTTGATAGGGAGGTATGGTACATGATCAAAGATGAGAAGCCATCGGTACCAACGAAACCTGTCGGTGATGTAACGTCAGGTGAAGGCGAGTCGAAGGAGTTGAAGGCGTGGACCAGAGACGATTGAAAGGTGCGAAGCCTGATCTAGTTATGCCTAACAGATAACGTTTTGGTGAACTTAACTTCTGAGAAGACCGCGAAGGATCTCTGGACGAAGTTGGAAGGTCTCTATCAAAGCAA